GTTGAATTGAAAGCGTAAGCCATGTAGAAATAATTTTAAGAAGTACATTTATAATTTAGTGCTAGAACACAAATAATTTCCTCAGTGGGTTGAAACTAAATAGAATCTAGATTGATTAGTCTGAAAAGACCCATATAAATAAATTAATATTAGTAGTTATCAGAGAAAAGAGTAAAATGAAAGACTCTTCAGCTGATTTTACATTCACATTTATTAGAAATTTATAATACGAGTTATTATCTAAGTAATGTAAAGGACATTATAAATCTGAGAGTGAATATATAGATTACATTAATTCATCTGTAAACAGTGTTACTTATCATGATCCCAATAACGTCTCACATGGTCTGGCAAGTTTAAAGTAAATTTTGTAAATCTTAATAAATATATTATTCATGGATTAAAAATGTTCGTGCTACGTCTATCTACATGTCATCAGACTTTCCAATAAATTTAAATTAATATTTACATTTCACTAGTTCAACTCAAATTACAAAATAGTAACTTTTTTTAATACTTAAGTAATCAATATTAGGCTAGATGTTTCTTTTCAATTTTTATAAGTGGTCCTTATACGCCTATTTAAGGCGCACAGCCACGTAAAGTGATTAATGAAGGTAGTAATTAATAGTGTCGGCATTTTTCATACTTCTAAAGAATTTCTTACATGCCGGTAGTATTTGAGGCTGTGAACTTGAAAAGTGAAGCGTTTCAACTTTTGTTTTGGAATTTAGTGAGATGTCGTTACATGTCTGGTTTATATAACATGAAAACCTCTTCAAACGTAACGTCGTGTAGTGGATAGTGAAAAATAATACCGAGTATTTTACAACACTAAAAAATGTTACCAAGAAACTTCTTTTTAAAAATTTGTAACATTTAAAATGAGTAGTTATACGCTTGTTTCACATTTTTGACTTTTCTCTTTGAGTTTTAATATGTGAAATGTTTAAAATTTAGTATCACATAAAAAGGAGTATACTTAGTAAGGCTTTCGGGATTATTCAGTTATATGAATATACCTGTATGAAGGTTTCTAGGGTGCGTTTAGCGGTTTCTTTGTAGATTAAATAAAACAATAATTGCGTGATTTATAGAACCAAGTTTACCCTTTTTATGGTTTCATTAGCTGTTGGAGTTGAAACTTAATTAGTTTATGGATTAATGTTAACAAATTCTATATAAGCTTCAGCGGCGATATTTGTACAGTCTTTAGATATTTTTATGTTTATTATGTTTATTATATTTTATGTTATTATGTAGCTACATATTCTGCTATGTGTATTTTTTGCAAGGAATCATGTAGAATAATAAAACTTCAGTTTAATTTTTATTACTTTCAGCTACATGAATAATTTCCAAGAAGATTAATTGTGATGGATATTATGGTGTTCTTTCGATAACAGAAAAAAATCAATTTTAAAATAAAGTCAAAAGTCTGAGAGATTTCCAGTAGTGTTGCAGGTTTTTATTATTGAAAAAATATTCCTAATCCTGTATTTTACTAAGTTTTTGGCATGAGTATAAACTTTCAAGTATTTACTAAACTGTGTTTGTTGTGTGTAGTATGATTTTTATATAACATTGATGTATATCACCTCTGAAAGCGTATTTACATTTTATGTAAAGATATATAACGAGAGCCGTGGCATGGCCTCGTGGTTAGGGAACTCGACTTGCAACCTGAATGTCGAGAGATCGAAATCCGGCATCCGACACGTTCGTCTTTTTAGCCATGCAGACGTTATAATGTGACGTTCAATCCCACTATTCGTTGGTAAAGAACCTCCCAAGAGTTGGCAGTGGGTGTTGTTGACTAGTAGCCTTTCTTGTGGTCAACAGTTCAAAATGAGGGACAGTGGCAAATAGGCTTATTAGCTTTGTCATAAATTCTCCCGCTAGGGGCTTGGCCGCGTTCGTGACCCCAAAATGACCTTTATAGTTTCCATATTGTAACTTCTAATACGTTTTACGTATCTTAACGAAATTTCGCCAGCTTTCAGTAATCGTTAAGAGTTATTTGTAGAAAAAAATCAGAATTTTTATTGAAGCGTTTTCATTAAAATTTTCTCCGTGAACATACGGTGTCAAAGTGTTAACTGCTCCAAGTGCAAAATGATTTTCATATTAAGATTAAAAATACTTTTCTTCCTCTGAAAAATCTCAAATTATATTTGCATAATCTCTGAAACCTTCTAAATAAATTTCATACGTTTTTTTCCAATAAACCATAATATTTTATCGGTTATTTTCTCTAACTCTATACGAGATTGATCAATTTGACCAACCTCGTAACCACCAACAAAATTCAAAATAAATGTTTTTTGTTTGTAATTAAGCACAAAGCTACACAATGGGCTATCTGTGCTCTGCCCACCACGGGTATCGAAACCCGGTTTCTAGCGTTGTAAGTCCGTAGACATGCCGCTGTGCCACTGGGGAGGGGGGTGGACTTTTTTTGTCTCGCTAACATAAATAATATTTTCCTAAGCTATCACATACTCTTATTGTAGCTCCATTTCAGCTTTATTTTTCAAGAACAATAAAGTTGTGATGGGAGAATATTTTGCGGGAAGTTGCTGGGCGAGTTGTAAAACCGTATTTTTGACTGTGTAAAAAAAGGGGGGGTTACGTTTGCACAGCTTTGCTAAATATCACAGAAATATTGTTGCAAAAATATTTTTTCGAAGTTTTTTTTCAACCGATTGACACTTCATTTCACACACACACACACACACACACACGCGCGCGCGTGTGTATATATATATATATATTATTCATTTTAGTATTGTGTTTTCCCACTATACGGTTTATCCAAAAACATAACGGATTGTACTGAACTCAACTCGTAATTGATAGCCGTTTTTATTAAGAATGAGAACAGGTAAACTAAGCATTTGGTGTTTTATTTACTCCTATCAGCTCGGAGTGTTGTTAATGGATCAGAACAAAAACCAAGAGGCCTTGACCATGTTTAACAGAGCGTTAGAAATCGACCCGGATCACGAAGTACGTATATTGTCTTTGATGTCATATTATTAAGAAGAATGTTTATGATGTTTTTCTAGAGACCAAGCTATAAACACACCTGGTAAAAACCCATGCTAGACAAGTAGAAATTTATAAGATAGCTTGGTGAAAACTAAATTACTCTTTGTATTATTCTTACAGACTAAAAATGGTCGATCTGCTTCAGTGAACGAAGTGTATTAATGTTCTCACTTTTAAGTAAACTTGTGCTGTTTTATATTCTAAGTAAGCGTTTTGTAAAATCATAAGATGTTAAGTAAACAGTTGAATTTCAGTTGCTTGTTTAGCTCTGTGTTAATAACATAAACGTATGGTAAGAAGAAATATATTTTTATAGTATTGTAATATTTAGCTGTTGGTACAAATTTAGTAGCAGTATAAACCACTTTTTTCACTTCTTCCTTAACCTGTGAATTATCAAAACTAAATGTTTTGAATTAATGATTAGTTCTCAATTATTGTCGATAAAACTAATCAGTTATCCATGTACCCTTAATTAAACTCTTGGTATATCGTTTTATTTGTATCTATTTATAGCAAGCTTTAGTAAGTTCTGCTATTTTAATTCAAGAGTCCGACATGGCCCTTCATCATAAGCAGCTGGCCAGTGAGAGGTAAGGGTGAATGAATGAATGAATTTAAGTTTATTTGATATTTTGTACGGTTGCAGACAAATATCTATTACACGTAATGAGCCCGGCATGGCCAGGTGGTTAAGGCACTCGACTCGCAATCTGAGGGTCGCGGGTTCGATTCCCCGTCCCACCAAACATCCTCGCCCTTTCAGCCGTGGGGGCGTTATAATGTGACGGTCAATCCCATTATTCGTTGGTAAAAGAGTAGCCCAAGAGTTGGCGGTGGGTGGTGATGACTAGCTGCCTTCTCTGTAGTCTTATACTGCTAAATTAGGGACGGCTAGCGCAGATAGCCCTCGTGTAGCTTTGCGCGAAATTCAAAACAAGCAAACAAACCTAAGTGTTAAAGCTTGAAAAAGTGTAGTCATTCTAGTTTATGCCTAAAGTTGAAAGGGTTTTATTTTGTTTTCGTATCTAAAACTTTCCTGTAACTGTAGAATTTACGTGTTCAGTGGCCATCCGATACTTATTTTACAGGCGTTGTATGTTGAGTAATTTTCTTTGCGTTCTTTTTGTTTGTTGCATTTAGGTGTTGAACATTTAGTAATTAGAATAAAAGGAAGCAGAAAGAGGCACTACGAAGAGGGTGTATTTTTATGAAAATATCTCGCCCTTTTTTCCAGAAATTACATTTAGGCTAAATTATCGATTACAGAGTAATTGTTCTGCTCTCATAATAATTCACATTCCAAGAAGTAGGTTACAGCCCTACTTAACAGTACAAAATAAAGTGCATGTACTTTAATAATTCTATTATGAAACGAGTTTGATGGAATTTTTTGAAAGCATTATTATTTTTTCACTGTAATTGGAAGTAACATGAACTGTAGAATATTAAGGAACCTTTTCCGTGAGTTTGTAAATACGTGTGTCACGAGATGTCGCATAACTCTCCAAGGCTTGTACGCCAATAAAAAGTTATCTCACTATTCATTGGCAAAAGAGTAGCCCAAGATCCGAGAGGTGGCGGTGGGTGAAGTTAATTAGCTGCCTTATCGTTAGTCTATCACTTCAAGATTAGGGACATCGTAGCCCTCATGTGGCTTTGCGCGAAATTCAGTAAGTAAACGAACAATGAATCGAGTACTTTGCTTTAAAAATGAAGATTTAGCTCGTCAGGTTGTAGATAAAAATATAATTAATGCTGTCTTCTAGAAATATTTCATGAAGTAGGGGATTAAGGTAGACTTATATGTTGTTAAATTGTGACCTAAGGAAGAATGTCACTATCCATCAGGCCCAGCATGGCCAGGTGGATAGGGAGCTCGACTCGCAATCTGCGGGTCGCGGGTTCGAATCCCCGGTCCATCAAACATGCTTGCCCTTTCATCCGTGAGGGTGATATAATGTAACGGTCAATCCCACTAGTCGTTGGTAAAAGAGTAGCCCAAGAGTTAGCGGTGGGTGGTGATGACTAGCTGCCATCCTTCTAGTCTTACACTGTTAAATTGGAGACGGCTAGCGAAGATAGCCGTAGTGCAGCTTTGAGCGAAATTCAAAACAAACAAACAAACACTATCCATCAAAAGGTTTATGCTATAATTATTTGGAGGAAAAGTTCAGGTAGAAAATTGAATTGGGAATGAGTGCGCTTCACGAATCAGATTTAATACTAAAGTAAGATGTAATTAAAGACATTCAAGCTCTAACGGTGAAAATTAATATAGATTAATTCGTAGTGCAGGCAGACAGTAATAGCTACAAATATTGCAAAAGTCATCTACCTGGAAGTAAATCAGCACACTAAATGATGCAGTCAAAACGAATGTAAACAACATTACACACGTTACTGATCTTTTCCCATCACAACTTAATCTGTCATCAAAAGTAAGAGCCATTTTAAAGTCAGACACCACTCGGGTGACACCCTTAAGTCAACCACACCGGAGGAAATCACAGATATATTGTTTATTTATCACAGTTCAAAATCACCCTTTTAAAAAGTGTCCTTATGTTGTTATCTGTAGAATTTCGAGCAAAGCTACTTGAGGGCTATCTGAGCTAGCCGTCCCTAATTTTAAATTGATAGACTATGGGAAAGCAGCTAGTCAATACCCACCCTCCGCCTAACTAGTGAGCTACTTTAATCGAATAGTGAAATTTTACTATCACTCTTATAACTCACCTATGGTTGTAAAGTGGCAGGAACCACGTAACCATAGTCCGCACATTAGTCACGAGAGGCGTTATGATAACTATGATTTAATGTTGCTCATAGTTTAGTGATAAACATGGTTTACAATTAAAACTTTTCAATAAACTGCGTGGGCATTGGAATTTTCAACCTAAACGACATTATGTGGACGTGGGCTCGGCGTTCAGATCAGAGACTCTTAGGACATAGCTGACCTTAGTTTTGATTCACTGACAAGAGGGAAGGCAAACTGTCAACAGTATCTACTATCATGAGGGCGTTCTTCGGCTCTTTTAACACGTTCACAACATCGTGCACCATCGGTGGTACACAGCACCCGTAAGATATAACTGTACCTCATATCTCCAAAGTCCTATATGAAACATTAATTTTATATGAACGGCTATAATAAAGCCACGCATTCCATCATGTACCAATGGTGGAGTACGAATGCCATGTTGAAAGTACAACTGAAATAAAACAAATTTACATGATTAAATCACTTTTTATTTTAAAATTACATTTAGAGACTGGCATTACATTTTTCATTGTGAGTAACTGAAACAAAACACTAATTGAGACGTCTTTCATAAATAATAAAACTGTTGTGAAGACTGTAATATAATAAGGATAAAAATATTATCATCCATAGTAGGGATTATTTTATCTGATGTTCCTTTTTTACGCCCATAAACTTGTGAAATATTCATAATTCTTCTAAAAAAACCGGCAAGATTAGGCTGAAAAAA